AGGAGTTAAGCTTCCTGGGGGTAGTCTCCCAACTTACTTTTAGAGAATAGGAATTTGTTTCATGGTGTCAAACAAAAACCAAATGCAGACTTGGTAAAGAAACTTTATTTGAAAGAATTATTTCAAAGGGGGTGGGGGACAGCTATTGCAATAGGAAGAATGTGCTGACCATAAGATCTGTGTCTAAAGGGTTAGACAAAAGTTTTTCTTTTATGGTGAGGGGAAAAAAGTAGAAACAGGGTGTTGGGAAGCAGGATGAATGAGAGTAGCATGGTCAGACAGTAGGTCAGACAATATTTGACCCTGAGTCTAGCCTGTTCTCTGGAGGCAGCTGTCAGCTAAAGGTAAGTTGAAATCCAGGAGAGAATCTTAACCAAGATTGGGTAACAAGCATTTTGCTCCAATTGAACATTGGGGAAAAGCAATTCAACTAATCATCTGAGGCAAAGAACTGGTATTTGGAAGGTCTATGTCTGGCCTTGTCATAGGTAATCAATCAACTGGGCATTCATGACTCTTATCTAAGTTGTATGTGAAGGGTGGTTCTTTGCAGTAAGCTGTTTTCCAGAACGCAAAAGATCACAAGACTCACTTAAAATTCAACACTGCCAGGAGAGAGGTTAGGGAACAAAAAAATTGCAGGTGCCAGCCCACTAAGAAGTGACATGCAGGTCTGCAGGCCTTACCACTTACGTGCCTGGGCACAGGCCTCAGGGCTGGCTGGTCAGGGCCATTTCTGGGGTTTGCACTGACAAAGTGCCCAGTTGCGTGTTAGCACCAACTACTGGCCAGCTTATAAAAGTGTGTTGTGTCCCCAAAAGGCCAGCTCAGAGAAGCAGAATTCAGAGAAGGTAGATATTGCTTCAAAGCACTCCTGCTACAGTAGACACTGTCACCTCCCCAGGGCTGCCAAGTCGCTGCTTCATGGAACTGGACAGGAGTGAAAATACTAACTACTGAGAAGCAGAAGGCTGATGCACAGCTACAGGATAGGCTGGGACTCCAAATTTAGAGCCTTACTGACAGGCTTTCAATAATCCCCAGGTGTGGATGCTATTTTCCATTACAATGAGCCTCTACCTCAAAATAAGTTTTTCTTCATGATCTATGCCTATGTGTACCTTTATTTCAGGGAGCAATTCTGTCTTGTCTTTTCCTTAACAACAGCCTTTCTTTCATTCCAGAACAAGAGAAAAAAAGCCCAAAGACATTTTTTCAGAATAAAGGAACGAGCTACTAAAGACTTAAGGGTAATAAGCTACTATTAGGAGAGGAATCCAGCCTCCCAGGAATATCAGAAATGTATCTGGGGGAGAAATAGAGGTCTTTCTCTTAGAGAATATCAACCATCAGGAGCTATGTGCACTGTGGCTTCCTAAGGCGGTGATGGCCTTCAGGTGATCTAGAGGATCAACACACTGCAGGTTCCCTCTGTTGAATGCACCTGAGATAAATAGGAGCAGGTAACACTGCAAACTGCTTCAAGCCCTTCCCTCTGCCTGGACCACACCCTATCCCCAGCTACTGGGGCCTATCCCCTGTCAACACTTCAGTGCCAAGTAGCAAGTCTCTTCTCGTCACCCCAGTAGCTCCCTCAGAATGGGCTCCACCTCACTGACTGCTACAAAGTGTGGACTTGATGTGGGGCTGTCATACAGTCATGACACATGCCTATGACAAAGGAAGGGCATCTATAATGAAAAGTGGTTACTGTCCATTAGTTTATTCAGGAAAACAGTAGGATAAATACACCTTAAATATTACAAATTTTATACAGGAATGACCAACCACTGCCAAACAAGTTTGAAAAGTGGTCTGAGAAGAGCAAAAAAGTATAGACCCCCCCACTACTTTTTTAAACCCTGGATGATCCATGGAGACAGAAACAAATTCTTAATATATTTTCTTCAACATAGCATCAGGTTGGCCAACGCTGGAGGGAGAACATGATTTGTGTACGTAGCCCCATGGGTGTCATTTCCGAAAGCGCTTGAAAAGGGGGTGTACATGCTTGGTGGAAGCCTTGCTGCGCGCTGAGTGGTACTCCATGTATACAGTGTCATCAGCCCCAGACATGGAGCTCATTGTGCCGAAGCGCCGAGATACCTGTGGGAGACCCAGCCCACTGTTAGTTTCCAAGGGGGAAAGACACTCCTTTTGTAACATTTATAATAAGTTTCATAAATTTTTAAGTTTAACAAATTTTTATGATATTTAAATAACATTTATTAACCACTTACCACGTCTCAGGCATGGTTCTAAGCAGTATACACACTTACATGTATTAATTCATCTAATTCCCACAAACACTGTAATCTCCACTTTATAGAAGAGAAAACTGAAATACAGACAGGGTAAGTAACTTGTATAAGATCATACAGCTCTTAAAGAGACGGGACTTGAACACAGGCAGTCTTGCTTCAGCCTCCCTATATTTCAATGTAATGCTACACGACCTTTCTTAGTGACAATTTTTGAAGAGAATTTTTTATCAGTGAGAGCAGAAGTCCCTCAAAATTTCCCAAGACTCCACACAAGGCTTTGAATCAAGTGGAAAGCCACAAATCCTAGGTTTGAATCTTGTCTTTGCGTCTCATTGGGTGACCTTGGGCACATACTGAATGCCTGCATGTCAATGAAGTCATCTGTTAGATAGGAATAACCATACCTGCCTAGACATAGGTGTCATGAACAGAAACCACTCAAGTCCAGAGTATGTCCCAGAGCCTGGCATCACAGGGACCAAATGGCAACCATACATACAGATAGGCCCTAAAGTAATGCTTGTAACAGCCTGGCCTCAGGGAGCCCACTGTGAGGCAGGACTGACCCAAAGTCGCCCATTATGTGGTCAGACGCAAGGGGTTTCCCTGGGACCTCCATGGACAGCGCCAGAGAGCCAGCCCTCAAACCCCAGATCTGAGGGGAACAAGGTCTCTGGCCGCAGGAAGTTTCCCTCTCCTGGTGATGTTGCTTCTCTCTTTCCTTGTTCTAGTCATTACTCTCCTTTTGGCTCTTATACCAATTTAGTTTCAAAAGCACCAAACTTGCTTCTTTCCTTAGAAGGCTGTTATAGACCACTCTGCCTGGTTTTAGGAATTGTATCTCGATCCCTTGTGGCTAAGGGCCAGGGACGACCTCTGGAATGTGAGCCGCAGAAGATACAGCTTGTCTCTAGTAGCAAATGCTGCCTCCGTTTCCTCTCCCTGCCCCCAGAGCTTGGTCGGAAGTCAATGACAGGTAAGACGCCTCACAGCAGGGGGGCAACCTAAGCCAGACTCCATCACTTGGGAGGCCTTCATGGAAGGACTTGGGGGCTGCAACAAAAAGCAATAGACTCTCGCCCCCCAGCTTTGACATATCCCAAGTCCCCATGTCCTCTGAGAGAAGTGCTTCCTGGCTCTAATCCCCTTAAGCCTGAATGTTGGGGAGAGGTGCAGCTCCTTGCCTTGCTATAGCATGTCCTGGGGAAAAATCACAAAGACTTCCTGATAAACCTGTGAAATCTGCTCTGCTAAGAGTGCTTTCAATCATATGTTAAGGGTTCGAGCAGGAAACCCTAAAACTCTGTTCCTGACAGACTCGGAATCACACTAAGCCCTCAGATTTCTTTGAAATGTTATCTACTGTCTGATCCTTGCCACCCTGTATTCCTGTGTATTAGAACCCAATAAAAGCCCTGGAGGTGGGGGCTCAAGGCCTTTTTTTCCTCGTAGAAACTGGCCACTGCTGGCCTTTGTCTCCCCTGAGGAACTGGCCATCCCTCCTCCCCAAGCAGATCATGTCATATCTCTGTCATATTCATTCTCATTTGTGGCACTCGGGGGAACTTGTGAGAAAGTCACTCCCACAGAAGGCCTGATTAAGAATTCCCCATAATGATACTTTTGTTAATTATGCCATACCTGACACACAGTAGGCATTCAATAAGTATCTGCAGAATAAAAAGCTGAGTATTTTCAGAAAACTAAACTTTTTTCTAAGTAAGTATTGAAACTACAAAATGAGTTAGTTGATCCTCAGATCCATTTTATAGGCTGGAAGGCTCAGCTAGGGACTAGGGAGGAAACCAGAGATGAAGTGACTTGCCCAAGGCCAAGAGTACCAGCCCCAGGCCCTTCACACTCCTTTCTACAGCTACCCTAGTAAGAGCCTGAGGTCATGTCTGCCATCCTAGGCTTCAACATAAAAATACTAATACTTGTATAGCAAGAGACCGATTACAGCCACTGTGGGTTCAGCCATGTAAAACAGCATGTATAGAAGGAAAGATACATACCAACAGCTTAATGGGTTGTTAATATTCTCTTCTCTACAAGTTTTTCAGAAGATTGCATAGACACATACACACAACTGTGAATATGTAAGTCTAAGAACTCGGTCCTTCAGGAGCCTCACACATGCACTCACTGACAGACCTAGGTAGGCCTAGGAGGAATAGAAAATCACCAGGCAAGAAAATGGCACTGGGGGAAACTGTATCGTGGGAACTGCCTGTAGACGCTACCCAGGAAAAAGATGCCTGGATAAGATTGGGGTCTGGGGTCAGCCTGTCCAGTATAACAGGATGCAGCTTTAACTTGAGCCTGACAAGATATATCAAGAACAATGGTCAGCAGAAATGGCACCCAGCAACCAGCTCTTGCTAATCAGACTCTGACAACTTAACCAGTTACCTTTTGAGGGTTTTTGCATTTAAAAACCCTGCCCTAAGGACAACCAAGTGAGTCTTAACCTCCCTTGGTAGCTCTTATTCTCCTTCTTATTCCCCGCTAATAAACCCTGCTCCTTAGCTCGCTGAGTCTGTCTGGTTTCTTGAGCAACTCTTGCCTAACACTCACCTGACTGGATCTGAAACCAGCCTCTCCTGCCACCACCTCTTCCTCAGCATCCAGGTCAGTGGCTGCCAGGACTTTCTGCAAGAGCTGCTGCTGTTCTTCTTTCGTCGAAAATGCCAGCTCTTCCTCCTCCATGCCAGCAAGCTTTGTGATCACCTGTAAGGCCAAAACCAGCAGGCAACACACTCCCTTTGCTTTCCTTCCCCTCACCTTCCCTACTGTCTTCTCTCTGGTTCACTTGCTCTGGTCACCTCCCTTGCCCAGCAGCGTAGGTGGCTAACAGTGGAGAGCTCCTCCGGGTACTCTGGAGACCAGCTTTAGCAGTCACCTTCAATAGGAATGTAATCAATGACTGTAAAGCAGGACAGGTTAAGAAAATTCCACAGAAATCTGCTCCCAACACATAACAGCTAAATGATCCCTTAACAAAAGATCAACAGGGATCTTGGTGATGTTGAAACATCTTGTACCAGGTGACAAAAAGAGACCAGAGACTGAAAGGCACTGTCTACCTGCTGTCCCTGAGAAGGCCTTCAACCTCCTGGCCTGGACCCAAGGTTTCCAGCAGGGGGAACACTTTCAAAACACAAAATGCCAAGAATGGACTTACAAGATTTTTCCTAAAGAGCAAGATGACAGCCTGATGGAGATTTGGTTTTCATTTCTTTGGGGGTAACTTACTACAAGGCCTACCTAGCCCTGCAGTAAGCTTAGACTAATTTATTAGGGAAAAAGCTTAGACTTTTTTCCAATTCTCATAATTTTAATTAAAAGAAAATTCATAAAGCAAGGACCTGGCTGATCCCTTCTGGTGGCCAGATCTGGATTACAGATATGGGATCATTTGAGCAGCTGCAATTTTGAGAAAGAAGAACAAAGTAGGAAGGATCACAATACCTGATACCAAACTGTATTAAAAGGCCACTGTAATCAAAACAGCCTGGCACTGACATCAAAACAGGCACATAGACCAATGGAACAGAACAGAGAGCCCAGAAATCAACCCAACTCTCTACAGTCAATTAATATTTGACAAAGGGGGCAGTAACATAAAATGGAGTAAAGATAGCCTCTTCAACAAATGGTGTTGGGAGAACTGGACAGCTACGTGCAAAAAAATAAACTCGAGCACCAACTTACACCATACACCAAAACAAATTCAAGGTGGACAAAAGACTTTAATATAAGCCGTGACACAATTAAAGTCCTAGAGGAGAACATTGGCAGGAAAATCTCAGATATTTCACGCAGCAACATTTTTACTGATATGTCCCCTAGAGCAAGGGACATAAAGGAAAGAATAAACAAACAGGATCTCATCAAAATTAAGAGTTTCTGCACGGCTAAAGAAAACAGTGTTAAAATAAAAAGACAACCAACTGTATGGGAAAAACATATTTGCCAATGATACCTCAGACAAGGGGTTAATCTCCAAAATATACAATGAACTTACACAACTCCACTCTAAGAAGACAAACAACCCAATTAAAAAGTGGGCGAAGGACTTGAACAGATACTTCTCCAAGGAGGACATAGAGAGGATCCAGAGACACGTGAAAAGATGCTCAATATCGCTAGCTATCAGAGAGATGCAAATTAAAACCACAATGAGATACCACTTTACACCGGTCAGAATGGCCATCATAAACAAAGCAACAAACAACAAGTGTTGGAGAGGGTGTGGAGAAAAGGGGACTCTAGTTCACTGTTGGTGGGATTGCAGACTGGTACAACCACTATGAAAAACAGTATGGAATTTTCTCAGAAAACTAAAAATGCAGCTGCTTTTTGACCCAGTAATTCCACTGATAGGATTATATCCTAAGAACCCTGAAACACCAATCCAAAAGAACCTATGCACCCCAATGTTCATAGCAGCACAATTTACAATAGCCAAGAGCTGGAAGCAACCTAGATGCCCATCACTAAATGAATGGATCCAAAAACTATGGTACATTTATACAATGGAATTCTATGCAGTGGAAAGAAAGAAGGAGCTCCTACCCTTTGCAACAGCATGGATGGAACTGGAAAGCATCATGCTGAGTGAAATAAGCCAGGCGGTAAAAGACAAATACCATATGATCTCACCTTTAACAGGAAGCTAAACAACAAAACAAACAAGCAAGCAAAATATAACCAAAGACACTGAAATAGAGAACAGGCTGACAGTGACCAGAGGGGAAGGAGGAGGGAATTTCAAGGGAAAGGGGGAAGGATTTACAGAAACTAGTAAAAAGGACACATGGACAAAAACTAAGGGGGGTGGAAATGGGAAAGAGGTGAGGTGCACTGGGCGGGGAGGGCTGGGATGGGAGTAAGAGACAGAAAACTGTACTTGAACAACAATTCAATAAATAAATAAAAAAAAATAAAAATAACTGATTTGTAGTACACTGGATGGCTATCATGTCTGTGAGGCCCCCTAAGGCCCAGGCTCACCGGCTAACTATGGGAAGAGCTGTGCAGGCCACCTGGAGTAGTACCCCTTAAGAAAGTTACCCTAGGGTCTCACACTAACATACTGAGGGCCACAGTTTGTGGGTACCTCAAGTCCTGTTAGCCTTATATATTTCCCCACCAACATCTAATGTTTTTTGAATAAGACAACTATAAAATGTTAATAAGCAGATTTTAGCCTCTTGCTTCAAAGCTCCCATTCTTTGACCATTCACTGTAGGAAGCTGGGGGAATGAGGAGATCCTGCACAATGTTTTCCCTCATAGACCCTGCAATTCGGGCAAAGACAAAGGGAGTCTGTGGCAGGCAGGGCCTTCAGTCCCCTAATGCTCCATGTCTGCCTGAGCTCTGTCCCATGCTGGTACTAACCATGGCCCCACTTTTCCTGGAGGCCTGAGTACAAAAAAAGCTGTGGTCCTACTATGACCAGAGACCAAACTGAAACATACCTTAAAGCTGTAACCCTGATCTACCAAGAATCTCTGCCGCTTGGTTGAATAAGCCATTTCCTGTGTGTCTTGAGATACCAGTGAGTAGAAGAAGGCATTGTACTCCTCTGCAACCATTCCTGGGAAGAAGGCAGGAAAAAGAATAACATAGCCATGAGAATGCAGGAACTAAGGTTCCAGGGCTCAGAAGCAAGTAATGCAATGGGAGAGCTTTGAGGTCAGGAGTTGATTGCCCTGATTTTGTATGGGGACTTCATCAAAGTTAAAAACTTTTGTGCTTCAAAGAACACCATCGAAAAAATTGGAAAAAAAACAACACATAATGAGAAAAAATATTTACATAACATATACCTGATAAGAATTTTGTATCTAGGTTATATAAAGAACTATTACAACTCAATAATGAAAACACAAAACTTAATTACAAAAAGGATCCAGGATCAGAATAGACACTTCTCTAAAGAGAATATGCAAATAGTCAATCAGCACTTGAAAAGATGCTCAACACTATTAGTCATCAGGGAAACACAAATCAAAACCACAATGAGATACACACTAATATAGATAAAATTTTTAAGACAGAGTATTACATTTGTTGTCAAGGATGTGGAGATGTTGGAACCCTTGTACATTGCTAGTGAGAACATAAATGGTACAGTCACTTTGTAAACAGCCTGGCAGTTTATTAAAATGTTAACCATAGTAACTACATGACCCAGCAATTCTATTCCTAGATACTTAGCCAAGAGGACTGAAAACATATGTCCACATAAAACTTGCACATAAATTACATAGTATTTTCAGTGAGCCAAAAAAGTAGAAATGGTCCAAATATCCACTTACCAGATTATTTATCAGATGAATAAATAAATAAAATGTAATATGCCCATACACTGGAACATCATTCAGCAATAAAAAAATGAGGAATTACTGGTAATGGGAAAGGATTTCTTTTGAGGGTGATAATATTCTAAATATACATTGTGGTGATAATTATGCAACTTTGTGAATACACTAAAAACCACTGAATTGTACACTTGAAATAGATCAATTGTATGGTATATGAATTATATTTCAATAAAGCTGCTAAAAAAAAACAGCTCAGTGAGAAAACCTGGAATAGAATTAGCACGGAAACTTGGACAGAAAATATTGTAGCCTATAAAACCTGGTCTTTCAGGAATATCTAAACATTTATGTTTAGATATTGGTGACAGTTCAAATGTCAGTAGGTTATGTATTGGTATACTGCTTCTGAAATCAATTGTTTCCTAGTCTTATAAGAACTCATAGATGCAAAGAGGCCAAATATCTACTTCAAATAGTTTTTTCTCTTTTTTCTTTCAGTTTTATTGAGATAAAATTGATATACAGACTATGTAAGTTTAAGGTGCACAGCATGATTTGACTTACATATATTGTAAAATAATTACCACAAAAATTTGGCTAACATCCATCATTTTTTACTGATACAAAAAATGTTTTTCCTTGAGAGAAGAACTTTTAGGATTTACCCTTAGCAATTTTCACATATACTATACAGCAGCATTAACTATGTCCACCTAAAAATAAAAGGCCAAAGTGAGAGGCAATAAGCATTTATTTAAATCGAAAAGGATAACTTTTCAGGAAGCACTGACTCAGGTAGAAGCCCAAATAGTGCTCAGATTAGAAGACTAAAGCAATGAGTGTTTATGAGAAAGAGAAGGGGAACAATTATACCAACAGAAGGAAGACCTTTCTACAGATGCAAATAACATAACACAGGGATGTTAATTCTAAATAACGTTTTCAATATTCAGCCCAGGAGTCATCGTATATGCTTTCTTGTTATCATTGAAAAGTTTTTCGGGATATAAGGTTGCTTTAAAACCGGTCCAAAGGTTATTTTGCCCTGTTTTAACACCCAAAGGTTTAAAAAGACGTGCAAGACAGTTCCTATAGAATGAAAGCTCTAGCTTCATTAAAAGTGGCTCCATTTATATCTTTCTTTTTACAACTATAGTCATCATATTGTACATTACACACACACTCAGTAATTATTTACCTTACAAATGGAAATTTAATCTTTCTGAACACCTTCATCCAATGTCTCTAGTAACCACAAATTTAAACTCTTTTTTTATGAGTTCAGTTTGGGTTTTTTTTATATTTCACACATAAGTGAGATTACATAGTATATGACTTACTTCACTTAGCATAATGCCCTCAAGGTCCATCCATGTTGTTACAAATGGCAGGATTTCCTTCTTATTTTATGGCTAAACAGTCTTCTAATAGATATGCACCACGTTCTCTTTATACATTCATATGTCAAGACACTTAGATTGTTAGCATGTCTTTGCTATTGTAAGTAAGGCCGTAGTTAACTGTGGGTGCAATTTTCTCTCACCTACTGATTTCAGTTCTGTCAGATATATATCTAGAAGTGGAATTACTGGACAATATAGTACTTCTATCTTTAATTTTTTGAGAAATCTTCATACTGTTTCCCATAGTGGCTGTACTAATTTATAACCACACCAATAGCAGGCATAAGGGTTGCCACCTCACCCTTTTTTAAGATTTTATTTATTTTCAGAGAGAGGGGAAGGGAGGGACTAGGAGAGGGAGAGAAACATCAATGTGTGAGAGAAACACACACATTGTGTGTGTGTGTGTGTGTGTGTGTGTGTGTGTGTGTGTGTGTGTGTCAGGGTACACACACATCAATGTGTGATTGATCAGGTGCCTCTTTTATGCATCCCGACCAGGGACTGAACCTGCAACCCAGCCATGTGCCCTAACCATGAATCACCTGTGACCTTTTGCTGTGAGAGACAACACCCAATCAACTGAGCCACATCGGTCAGGGCAAGTCAAATAGTATTTTAAAACAAAGTTCTAAATCTAATTCCAAGGAGTTTTCAAATTGTGTGTGTGTGTATACAATTTCTTTTTTTGCTGAAGAATAAGGAAAGTGACAAATTACTTTCACACATGCTACTCAGGTTATATATGCTTATCAGTTTCATAAAAGCTACAATTTATCCAGCGGAATAAAATCTTTAAAAAAAAAGAAACCTAAGTTGTTGTTTTTTTAACACAGTTTGCATGCAGAGTACCTAAGCCTTTTGCTTCTTCATTCACTGAGCTTCTGACTCCCTTGATGCAAGTAGCCACTTTAGGGCACCACAATTCACAGGTCATAAGGAAGGCATACACTTGTGGCTACTGAAGTTGCTCCCTAAGCCCTCCCCTTACTCCTAACTTAAGGTTCAGGGGACAAGTTCCAGCTCTCACACTTGCACTGGTGGCCCAGCTGTGCTTTCTCCCTTCTATGTCTACATCATGCAGACTGCTGTCTGGATCCTCTTCCTATCTACCAATATAAGAGCTCAGCTTAGAGGGCATCTGTGTGAGTTCCAGGCAGCTGCCATTGAAAACACACACATATCCACCCTCAAGGCATGAAAAATAAGGGCCAAGAAGACTTTGGTCCTGCTTTGGGAGTCCCTCCCTCAAAGTATACGTAGTCCAGCAGCACAAGGTCACCACCACAAACACACCGGCAGCTCCGCCCTACCTTCTTCCTATCCAAGGTAGTTGGAATGGAGAGACCTCCCAGAGAATAAGGGGGAAGACCACCTTTACCTTTTTTGGCTCGCAGCACTCGCCCTAGTCTCTGGGCCTCCTGCCGTCGGGAGCCACCATGAGATGAAATCTGAATGAGAACGTTTGCTTCTGGCAGATCAAATGATGTGTCACCCACCTACAGAAATAAAGCAGCTGTGTGTCTGGGAAGGTTTTTATATATGAGACAGAGAAAAAAAAAATCAACTAGTCTCAAATTTAAATAAGCTCTGTAGGTAATTAAGAAAAACAATCACTGTTCTCTTCTCTCTGTGCCAGGGTGTTTCAGATGTAGGCAGGCCTCTAGGAACTACAGTGAATTCTCCTGAGAGCCATCCTTTAGAAAACAGTCTTCAGTCTTCACCATCTGTCTCAGCCACATTCCCAGTATGGGCAGCTAGGGGCTCAAAGACAAGAGGGCCCTATCAACAGATACTTTCTGTAAGCAATTCTTCTTATTTTTTGTTACACAAATACGTCTGCCTAAAACCATCCACACTCTTAAACAGACACCACTGAGACCAGCTGTACTGTGTCACACATGTGACTTAGTGGTGTCATTTGCCTTCACTGGGCTGGATTCTTAGTCAGGGTAGCTGCCTCAGTTTGGAGCTTCTAACCATCTAAATTCCCACACAGACATCAAAGTTCGGTACTTACAGACTTAGTCATGATCACTTCATAGGTAAATCTCATTTCTTTAGAGCTCTGGGTCTATCCTAATCTGAATGACTGATCTAAATGGTTGGGCCACAGCTCCTAATTGCAAATTAAAACCATCACCAACTTGAGTGTACTTGACTTTGAATTGTGTTTATATTCGCCACCCATCACCAAGGCACAACAGGAGTCAGGACAAAAGCTGCCAGTGATCCACAGGCCTCTCCAATTCCACAAAGAGAATTTCATCCAAATGTCTACTTTTGTCAGAGTAGGTGATGAACTTTTTTCTCTTTTATAAAGAAAATACAAGCTCAGTGGATTGAGCACGGGCCTGTGAACCAAAAGACTGCGGTTCGATTCCCAGTCAGGGCACATGCCTGGGTTGTAGGCCAGTTCCTAGCAGGGGCCAGTTCCCAGCAGGGGACACATGAGAAGCAACCATACATGGATATTTCTCTCCCTCTCTCCTTCCCTTCCCTTCTAAAGATAGATAAATAAAATTTAAAAGAAAAAGAAAGAAAATACAGCTTAAAATTCTGCATCCCAAAAAAGAGGTGGGAAAAACTTGTCAAGCAATAGGACTACACAGGTTATACATAATGAATAAATCCCTATATCTGTTTCTTCTACTACCCAGACATGTGGAAATGAAAACTGACAAATGATGTTCCTTCAACAAATACTAATGCACTGGCCCCCACCCCTAGGCCTTAGGATTGCTGGGACCTCACCATCACCGTGCATGTCACACAGACCTTGGATATGAAGATGGTGTTGATTTTGGGGTTGTGCTTGAAATTCTGGAGAATCTGCATCCTTTCTCCCTGAGATGTAGGACCATAGATATAGGGTCTAGAGAAGAACAAAGCTATATTAGGAAGACCACAGAATCATTCCTCAATTTTCCTGAAAGCACATCAGAGTAGGAGCTCCTGCAAAGTACTCTTTCCCAGGAAGCCCTGTCATTCAAGAGTATCAGGAAAAGAACATAAAAATGAGTGGCAATACACCCTCCCTATTCCTCTTCCAAAACACACACACACTTTATCTCTTCCCCATTGAACTGAGGTTCAAGGTACCATTCTCTTGGAGATCTCCTTTAATTTTTCTTCAGGTTTTGGACTAAGGTCTCTAGCCCTAAGCTTAGTGTCTATACAAAGAGAATCCCCTGGATTTCATGAAGCACAATGGGATAGAAAAGGAAACATTGCTGTCTGGAAACAACTGTTTTCTAATGACACAAACATTCTCCAAGGAAGGGGTAGAAAGGAGCAAAGAGCCACCTCTAGACTTTTTCCTTCTGGCCTCCTGTAACACTATGTTTAAAACCCTTCTATTTAATTCCCAGTTCTCAGCCAAAGGGCACAAGCCTATCTGACAGACTCAGTGGTCATCCATCACCTCCTGTGATCTGGCAATGCCATTCCTGCACTATTCATGGAATGACCTAGTCTCTGTAGCTTTAGTATAGTGGTGATGATGATGATGATGATAACACCAAGAGATATAGGTCCCACCCACACTTAACAGCTGGATACCATGTTGAAAAAAATCCATCCACCCCTGCCAACAGTCCTCAGAACTGTACAAGACAGATTTCATTCTTCCAAGGTACACATAATTGAGGGGCAAGAGTCTGAGGTGACTAAACCCAAGTGTTAATATTCCACCACTCAGGTCCACTAATCATCCCAGGGAGGTGCCCATGGAAGGCAGAAAGCACAATTTTTGATCCTCCACACACTTCCCAACCCTGTGCCACAAAGTGGTAATGGGTGTACCTGCAACAGCAAAACTCTTGCCCATGGGGAAGCTGGGCAGGGCCTGGGACAGAAGAATACTCCAGGTTGATGGCCTCTGGTCACCCCAACCACTGCGAGCCTGTTATACAAGAGTGTTCAGAACACCAAACATATTTTCTATGTGTGCCATGTTGTGAAAAAGGCGGGAAAACACTGCTCTTGATAGCCTGTCTCTCAATACCCAGGTTTTTAGGTGGTTCTTTTTCTCCTTCCTCATCAGAAGAAAACAGTCACAGGATGGTAAACCTGAGTTTCTAAAAATTTATTCTCCTATACAGGAAATGAAACGGAAGGGTGACCGTCCTTCAGAAGAACCCCTACCAGTCTTGCCAGGGACAAGAATCCTCTGAGGTGGATAGTGGTAAGTCCAGGTGACAGAGAGAAAGAGAAGGTTGAGAGGGATAAACAACACTCTTGAGGTCACACAGCTATTAAGAAGAGTTGCTGGGAGTCAGGTCCATCATGTCAGACTCCAAGGCTGTCCTTTCTGCTACCTCACATAACAAATAACCCAAACAGTCTCTCCTGTGAAGTAATTTAGTACACCTATTCCTTTTTTATTAAGACTAGGATAAACCAGAAGCTCGGAGACTCCCCCCATCCCCCAAATCAGTCCTAACCTACTGAATGAAGCAAATGCCCAGGATTCATAGGATCATTTTGAAGCAAGAAACAAGGCAAACAAAAGCATTGCATACATTTAAAGGCCAGATGAACAAAAAAGAAGGTAAGTACAAGTTGAAATGATCTTTCCAGTATCCATAAGAGAACTATGAGCTGTTGCCCTTCATTATGCTAGACAGGCTCAGATTCCACAGTGCCAGGCCAATGAATGTCCCTGACCCAGAAGATGCTCAGGAGGCTGCAACCAAAATATAAGCCTCAGGTGTGTTCAAATGTAGGCATGAGGGAGGACACCTGAAGAAGTCTCCAGGAAGAATGTAGATGGAGTACTGAAATGGTGGGGGGGGTGGTGGTAAGGAAAGGACAGATGTTCAATATGACACAATAAACATAAGCATTGTCTTGTTGCCCTTATCAAGTTGACACTAATGTGACATTAAAGGATTAAGAAGATACAAACAGCCCTGGCTGGTGTGGCTCAATGAGTTGAGTGTCAGCCTGTAAACCAAAAGGTCACTGGTTCGATTCCCAGTCAGGGAACATGCCCGGGTTGTGGCCCAGGTTCCCAGTGGGGAGGTACATGAGAGGCAGCCACACATTGATGTTTCTCTGCCTCCCTTTTTCCCTCCCTTCCCCTTTCTCTAAAAATAAATAAATAAAATCTTAAAATAAAAAGACACAAACCCACAACAACAAAGAGAAAAGAAGAAGTAACAGTAGAGGGTGAACACATTGTGGTAGTCAAGACATAGATGGATGCAGGCATGGTAACAGAGCTGGTAACTAGAGGAAGCAGGTGCCTAAGCCAGCAGGAGGGAAAGTCAATATAATACAAGCCCTCTTCTTTGCAGAACACAGTCACCGGGTGCTTTGAAAGCTGGGTTGTGGGGCAGGACTGCAGACAGAAGGTCTGGCAAAGTATCTGGATGAGGAGCAGTGTGAAGCCCCAGTCCCAGCAGCCAGGCATGCCTCCTCTACCTGGCAGAAACCTGGAGGCTTACTTTCTAGATTTACAAGGAGGCTCTGCACTTAGGAACCTCAGGCAGAGCTAAGGACAAAGGCAAGACTGAAAGTGAAGAATGAAGGGAATCATTCTTCCCCTTCTCCCTCTCCCACCACATGCTGATATACAGGAGACCAGAAGATTCCTCTTTGGAGAAATGTCCTACCCAAGATAAAAGACCTAGAGATACTGCATTTGGCAATCTCTTAATAAAGCACCAGGTTCCCAACTAATCATGCCATGCTGAGGTTCACAGGTGGGCAAACCCACTAAACTATACAGAAAGGCCAATCAGCTTTCTAGTGACTGACTGTTAAACAAGAAAATACAACCAAGGATTACCAAAAATCAGAAGGGCTCCGAAGACAGAGGTGAAATAACAAAAACAATAAAACTTGAAAAAGAGAGAGACAGTGTAAGGAACAGAAGAAAATTTTAAAAGCTTTATGAGCTCCAGAGAAGACAATGCATGAAATAAAAACAGTCAGCAATAAAGAACTGTTGCAAACAAAATCTTCAACAGAAGGGTTAGCAGACAAAAGGAGGAAAAAAGGTAAGAAAATTAGAGAAGTTGTTCAGAACATCCAACATCTTACCAGCAGGGAATTCAAAAAAAAAAAAAAAAAAAAGAAAAAAAGAGAGAGAGAGAAAACAGGAAAAACAGTGAAGTTATAACAAGGAAAAAAACAGAAATTCTCAGAGTTGAAACATGAGTGTCCATATTAAAAGGGTCTAATGAGTGCACATTACAATGAAAGAAAATCACACTAAATATATTGTTTTGAAATCTAAAAAAAATATCCTGAAAGCTTCCTAAGAGAAGGAAACAGATGACTACAAAAGATCACATACAGAGAGGAATCAGAAGGGCATCAGACTTCTGAGTGCTGCACTGGAAGGCCCAACAAGACTGAGTCCTGCCTTTAACATTCTGAGGCCCAGCCTAGCTAATGATCAAGTGTAAGGCTGAGTGAATACATCTGCAAGAACAGTCTTTAAAAATGTTCTTCCTATATACCTTCCATCAGGAACTGCTGGAGGCTGTGCTCATTCAAAATGACTGACCAAGAAAGAGAAGACTAGGAATACAGAAAAGGGCTCCAGCACAGGGAGGGGCACAGGGAAGGATGGCCAGGAGGATCTTCCTGACAGGAGAATTACGGATGAGCAGCATCCCTGGTCCCAGAGTAGAAGAATGAAGTGCCGCTAGGAACCCACCAGGGAAAGAAAGAAAAGAACTAATGTGTCTGACCCTCCTGGGAGCGAGATTATGGTTGCAGGAAGGGTCTGAAGAGCAGCAGTTAAGTATTTTAAAAAAACAAGCAAAAGCAATGGCAAGACAATATTAATGCCAGAAAAAACAAATTACAAGAAAATGTAATCATACTACATATATGCCTTGGTGTGGACAATACATATAGTCCAAATAATTTAACACTGAATACTAACTTAACCTCAAACACACTAGGAGGATGAGGGAGGACAGCAGTGTGTGCAAGAAAGCTAAATCCTAAACTCTTATAGTAGAAAGTTAAAAGGCAATTTCTATAATTAATAATAAAAAACTGCTAGGTAAATTATTACTTAGCAGTATGAAAGTAAATAGAGAAAGAATTGAAAGTGGCTGTCCCTGGAGAACAGGAATTGTTGAGTAGGAAGACACAGAGGGACTGCTATTTTTCATAATAATCAATGTTACTCTGATAAAAATAAAATATTTTCTACACTGAAAAAAGTTATAATTTTAGAAATTTAAGAAATTTAATCTTTCTGTGTCTCAGTTTTATCATCTACAAAATGGGAACAATGAAATGACCTTATATGGCTACAGTGAGGATTAAATCATAGCTTGCTAAAAAGAAGCTAGTCTGCATGCACACTTCCCTCTCCATTCCTACCACCACAAAAGAAATTCAGGCCTGTCTTCAGACAGGGCTTTATCTTCTCTACACTCACAGCACTGTGTGTGTCACTGCAGTAGGCTTTAATCACAGGCATCTGGGTGGGGCTATGGGCTGATGATGACTCTGCTAGGTGTTTTTCCTAAAAAGCTCTTCAATGCCAGGCCATCTGTGGGATGCTGGTCCAATCTGCCTTGCCCTCCTGGTCCCTAGCCTATACAGTCTGACCTTATTACCCACTCCCAGAGTGCTCACTCAGCCTGAAACTCCCGATGTCAACTTTGGAGCCCAGTTCCAAAGCAACATGACTCTAGCCTCTGCTCCCTGGGTTCAGGGTGACCATGTTTCCTTTTCTACACACTCCAACCTTTGACTCCAAGCAGCTGCTCCTGTCTGGCCTGGTTCCTAGAACTGGGGTCACAGAACCAGACCTTGAGATCCTAGCAAGTTTCTGAAAGCTTGAAATACACACACACACACACACACACACACACACACACACACACACACAGGCACCTCTGCACTCTCACAAAGAGAAGATATTCTTACTTGTTCAGCCGAATTGCATACTCCTTTAGGGCAAACACATTATCAGCAAAGACAATAATCTTGTCATTCCTCCTTTCATGAAACTTGATCAGGAACTGGCAAGCTCTGAATTTGTTGGGATTCATGGTATACAGTAAGATTCGCTTCTTGGTTTTGATTGCCACATACTCCCTGTAAAACTCAGGAGACATGGGGCACCAAACCTGAGATACAATAAGAAACAAGAGTCAGTTTGCAAGTTGAAACATCACACAGTTGGAAACTTTTGAAGATCATTTATTTAGCACAATTAACTAAAACAAATCAAAACAAAACCAATGGTATGTCACTTTTATTTCAATATAACTGTAAACAAACACATACACACAAGATTTCATACTTAAGGTTGAACCAGGACACTTGAACACGTTAATCACTACACAAAAATTTTTAAATGTGTTGATATCCAGGGAATTATTTTAACACCAGCTCCAAGTGAAAAGCACCAGACTTTCAACATGTGATACAAGTGATCCCTCTCCCTTAGATCATACTTTCCCTTAAGCTGACACAGAGTAATGCACACACGCTTCCCAGCTCTATTGACTGAGCCTAGAAATGATATCCTAGTAGCAATGAACACACATAATACCCAGATCTTGGCTTGTAAGTTATATTTTCCACTGAAAGGCTCCATGGAGAATGGCTGATTCCAGGGCTAGAGCAAGTACCAGAACAAGTTCCAGATGAATCAGAAATATATTGCTGAGTGGCCATGATGGAGGTATAAGTAGATACACTTTGCCTCTTCACACAACCAAAAGAACAACAACAAATTTAAAAGCAAAAAATAACCAGAACTGCCAGAAAATCAAACTGTATGGAAGTCTGATAACCAAGGAGTTAATGAAGAAACATTCATTCAGACCAGTAGGAGAGGTGGAGGTGGGCAGCCAAAGTGAAAAGGATGCCTGGAAAGGCAGCATCTGGAAGACCAGGGTGGGCAAGGTGGAGGCTCAAGGACCAGGGGAGGTAGCAGCTAACTGAGTGGGCAGTCCCACAATTGCACACGGATAAACCAGGAAGAACAACTGGGGAGCAAGACAGACCCTGCAACCCAGGGTTCCAGCATGGGGAAATGAAGTCTCAAAACCTCTGAATGAGAAAAACTATGGGGGTTGAGGTCGCAGGAGAACCTTCCAGCCTCAGAGGAGAGTTTGTTGAAGAGACCCAGGGTCCTAGAACATACACAAACCCACCTGCCCAGTGATTCCTGGGCCCAAATCACTTGTGTGAAGCTGGGAAAGTGACTGAAGGTTGACGGAGAGCTGAGCAAGTGGCATTGTTCCCTCTCGCACCCCTCCCCAACATACAGTGCCACAATGAAACGATGTAGGTTGCCCTGCCCTGGTGAAAACCTAAAGCTCTTCCCCTCACTATGTAACAGGCATGCTGAGACCAAAAAAAAAAAAAAAAAAAAAATGTGTATGGCCCAAATGAAAGAACAGATCAAAGCTCCAGAAAAAAATACAACTAAGTGATGAAAAGATAGCCAACCTTTCAGATGCAGAGTTCAAAACACTGGTAATCAGGATGCTCACAGAAATGGTTGAGTATGATAGCAAAATACAGGAAATGAAGTCTCTGAGAAGTGAAAGAAAGGAAAATATACAGGAAACCAACAGTGAAGGGAAGGAAACCGGGACTCAAATCAACAATTTAGAGCAGAAGAAAGAAATAAACATTTAACCACAACAGAATAAAGAAACAAGCACCAAAACAATGAGAAGTGGCTTAGGATCCTCCAAGACAACTTTAAATGTTCCAATATCTGAATCATAGGGGTACCAGAAAAGAGGAAAAGGAAGAAAAGGAAAACTTATTTGAAATAATGAAGGAGAACTTCCCCAATCTGGACAAGGAAGTAGACTTCCAGGAAGTCCAAGAAACTCAGAGAGTCCCAAAGAAATTGGACCCAAGGACGTACACACCAAGGTACAACATAATTAAGTTTAAGATAAAGGTAAGGAGAGAACATTAAAAGCAGCAAGAGAAAAGAGAGTTACCTACAAAGGAATTCCCATAAGACTATCAGCTGATTTCTAAAAAGAAACCTTGCAGGCAAGAAGGGGCTAGATAGATTCGAAGTCATGAAAGACAAGGACCTAAGTCCAAGATTGCTCTATCCAGTAAAGCTAGCATTTAGAATGGAAGGGCAGATAAAGAGCTCCTGGATAAGGTCAAGTTAAAGGAGTTTATCACCAAAAAGCCCTTATTATATAAAATGTTAAAGAGACTTACCTAAGAAAAAGATAAAAAATACAAACAGTAAAATGATGACAAAGTCACAACAATAAACAACCAAACCTTAAAAAACAAACTAAGCAAACTAGAACAGGAAGAGAATCATAGAAATGGAGATTACATGGAGGGTTATCAGTAGGAAGGGGGAGGGGGGAGAATGGGAGAGAAGGTACAGAGAATAAGAAGCATAAATGGTAGTTACAAAATAGACAAGGGGATATTAAGAATAGTATGGGAAGTGAAGAAGCCAAAGAACTTCTATGTATGACCCATGGGCATGAACTAAGGTGGGGAAATGCTGGTGAAAGGGATGTACAGAATGGAGGGGAAGAAAGGGGAGAAAAACAGGACAACTGTAATAGCATAATCAATAAAATATATATCGTGACCCACCTTCCTTTTTTTTGGTAAATCTACCAAAAAAAAGGAAGAAGAAAAAATATATTTGTTGAGCCAGAAAGCAGGAAGTGCTGAAAGAATGATGGGGAAAATGTCAACTGGCCAAAAAAGCCAGATTAAATATTATCCTATTGGTCACATCTAGGACAATCTGAGCATCCAAGTAAGAATGACAGTAACATTCCTGAGGGCCTCCTCTGTGCTAGGCCCTGTGCCTGTGCTAACGAAAACTCAGGCAATATTTGAAGTGCCATGACTTCTCAAGTTCTCGAGGTTGTGTACAAATAAAAATGACCCTCTTGGAGCCTTGCACTGGAACCAAACTCTGACTTTTCAGCTGTGACCAATGCCATTTCTGTGTGATCACCACAACCATTTATTCAGGCAGCCACCACTGGAGACCTAGCTATCATCATTACATGGCAGACTATATACTGAGCTCAAATCCGTAAGTTTTGCTGTTAATGTTTTCTGGTTACCTCTGAGTCATATCCTGTTATGACTTCATCAGAGTTTCTAGTTCTTTATAACCACAGCAATTCTTTTCCAACAGTAAAATGTTTAAGACCCCACATTTTACAGAATATGAAACACAAATAGCCAATAAATATATGAGAACAGGAAAACACAAATTAATACCATCACAGAATACCATTCCACACTTAGCATGTTAGCAAACATTAAAGAAAACAATTAGATATTAGTATTGGAAGACATGTGAAGTGACCTCACTTGCACCTGATGAATGTTAACTGGTACAACCACTTCAGAAAATGTTTGCCATGACATGACTAGTAAAGTGAACCTTCACAGAGCATTTGACCCAGCAATGCTACTTCTGGGTGTATCTGCCAGAGCAGCAGCTTCAATCTTGGATTACTTTACATCACAAACTAAACAGTCATATATACACACAGTTTTATGAAACAATATAGATATACCCTCAATTACACATTACACAATTACATATTACACATTCTGGTAAATTCTATTCTATCCTGATCGTGACCCACCAAAATGATGTCACCATCTACTATGGGATCACAGTTCACAGTATGAACACCACTGCTTAAAAAAAGTCTGTAACCCAAGGGACCAAGGAAACAGGTACAAAAACATTTGCAGCAATATTGTCATAATAGAAAAAAATTAAGCTCCACATTTATAGACAAAATAAACCACTGGCTGCCTAGGGTGGGCAAAGAAGCAGGATTCAATGCAAATGGTCACGAAGGAACTTTGGGGGTAATGGAAGCATTCTAACACTAGATTGTGGGGATAGCTACACAACTCTTTACATTAACTATTTTTTTTTATTGCTGTATAATATCCTATTACATATCAAACTGTGGTATAGTTGTATGATGGAATACTATAGAGCAATTCAAAGGGATGAACTACAACTACATTCATCATAGAAAAATAATGCATCACACCCTGGCTGGTGTAGCTCAGTGGATTGAGCATGAGCCTGTGAACCAAATGGTGGTGGTTCAATTACCCGTCAGGACACATGCCTGGGTTGCAGGCCAGTTCCTAGCAGGGACCAGTTCCCAGCAGGGGATGCACCGGAAGCAACCATACATTGATATTTCTCTCCTTCTCTCTTTCCCTTCCCTTCTAAAGATAAATAAATAAAATTTTTTAAAAAATGAATCACATGAATAAAAATAGAGAAAATGAGAGAAGTCATACAATATATGTAACCTGTATACACACACACACACACACACACACACACACATAAAGATAAAACGTTTAGGAAATATACACAGGAGGTAAAACAAAGAAAAGCAAGAAAATGAGAAATCTAAGCTCCAAGACTGGTTCTCTGGCAGGGAAAGGGGAGATGCAATTAGAAAGGAATAGGTACTCCAAAGTTCTGGCAATTGTCTTGTAAGATAGGTGGTGGTTACAAAGATGCAACTAAAAAGTAATGAAGCTTTTCAACACTGCAAGTCTTTCTGCACATGCTCCTCACACTCACCTTTAACCAATAGCCCCCTTTCTACCCTTTCATGACAAAGGCCACTCTAACCACTGAATGACAGTCATTTTTAGATGCCAGAAAGGATTCCAGAAAGTCGTTTTAGATGCCAGTCATTTTTAGATGTTGTTGTTCCTTCTGAGAAGACTTACTTTTGAAGATGTACTTTAAATATATATCTGTGCCAGTTTTCCCTACAGAACAATATTGAGAAAATGTATTCTTAGAAATAAAATGACCAAGGCCACAGGTGCCTTCTGGGGGTATTAAAACCAACAGGCTTTGGCACTGCAGGGCAGCCTGGATGACCGCCCACACAAGAACACCCTGAGTCACTCACTCCCAGAAAGGATGAGCAGTGTGGACTTTGGAGCAGAGCCAGCCTGGACTAGCATCCTCACTTTACCACTTACGGTATGTCCCTAGACAATGATTTTGCTTCACACATCTGTGACATGGCAGAACACCACCTACCTCACAGGGGACTGACAGGACTGCATGAGGAACCAGCACTTCTGCTCAGGTCATGACCTGTGTAAATACCCACAAGAAACTGACACAGTCCATTTCCCCTGCATCATGAAAGAGCCTTTTTCTGAGAGACCGCAAGGAAGGGGACAGCTACCTCAGCACACTGGACTTTGGCAATGTAGCCGTTGTTCTGCAGCTCCATCCAGTTGGCTTCATACAGCTTGGGCCCGATCAGAAAATTTAAGTCAACAATTTTATCATCTTCCCGGACAAGGGTTGCAGTCAAACCCAACTTGCAGTGGGCCTGCACAATGGTAAGCACCCGTCGAAACATCTTGGCTGGGAAAACAATTGGTGATTCACACTGTTAAAGAACTTTGAAAAACTTTTTTTTTTTTAGAATAACAATTATTTTTTTCTTTTTAATATATTTTATTGATTATGCCATTTCAGTTGTCCTATTTCCCCCCTTCATTCCCCTCCACCCTGCATACCCTCTCCCCCACCATTCCCCCCTTTAGTTTATGTCCATCTGTCACAAGTTCTATAGATTCTATATTTCCCATACTATTCTTGCCCTCCCCCCTGTCTATTTACTACCTACCATCTATGCTACTTATTCTCTGTACCTTCTCCCCCTTCTCCTCCTCCCACTCCCCTATTGCTAACCCTCCATGTGATCTCCACTTCTATGGTTCCGTTCCTGATCTAGCTGTCCTCTTAGTTTGCTTCTGTTTTAGGTGTGGTTGTTAGTAACTATGAGTTTGCTGTCCTTTCACTGTTCATCTTTTTTATCTTCTTTCTCTTAGGTAAGTCTCTTTAATATTTCATATAATAAGGGCTTGGAGAGCACTTTATCTGCCCTTCCATTCTAAATGAAAGCTTTGCTGGGTACAGCAATCTTGGATGTAGGTCTTTGGTTTTCATGACTTAGAATACTTCTTTCCAGCCCCTTCTTGCCTGAAAGGTCTCTTTTGAGAAATCAGCTGACAGTCTGATAAGAACTCCGTTGTAGGTGACTGTCCCCTTATCTCTTGCTGCTTCTAGGATTCTCTCCTTCATTTGAATCTTGGCTAATGTAATGATGATGTGCCTTGTGTCGCCCCACCCTGGTGAACACCTAAGGCTCCACCCCTCACATGTAACAAGCACAAACAGACCAAAATATTGGGGCTCAAACACAAGAACAAATCAAAGCCCCAGATCCAATACTTTTAAGCAACCAAGAGATAGCCAACCTATCAGATGCACAATTTAAAACACTGGTGATCAGGATGCTCACAGAACTGGTTGATCTTGGTCGCAAATTAGATGAAAAAATGAAGGCTACACTAATTGAAATGAAGGAAAATGCACAGGGAACCAACAGTGATGGGAAGGAAACCGGGACTCAAATCAATGGGGGGACCAGAAGGAAGAAAGAAACAACCAACCAGAAAAGAATGAAGAAACAAGAATTCAAAAAAATGAGGAAAGGCTCAGGAACCTCCAGGACATCTTTAAATGTTCCAACATCCAAATTATAGGGGTACCAGAAGGGGAAGAGAAAGAGCAACAAGCAGAAAAGTTATTTGAACAAATAATAAAGGAAAACTTCCCTAATCTGGCAAAGAAAACAGACTCCCAGGAAATCCAGGAAGTTCAAAGAGTCCCAGAGAAGGTGGACCCAGAAAGGAACACACCAAGGCACATCATCATTACATTAGCCAAGATTCAAATGAAGGAGAGAATCCTAGAAGCAGCAAGAGATAAGGGGACAGCCACCTACAAAGGAGTTCCCATCAGACTGTCAGCGGATTTCTCAGAAGAGACCTTACAGGCAAGAAGGGGCTGGAAAGAGGTATTCCAAGTCATGAAATCCAAAGACCTACAACCAAGATTGCTCAATCCAGCAAAGCTTTCATTTAGAATGGAAGGGCAGATAAAGTGCTTCTCAGATAAGGTCAAATTCCAGGAGTTCATCATCACCAAGCCCTTACATGAAATGTTAAAGGGACTTAGATATCTAAGAAAAAGGTGATAAAAAATATGAACAGTGAAAGGACAGCAAACTCACAGATCTTAACAACCATGCCTAAAACAAAATCAAACTTAGAGGACAGCTAGATCAGGAGCAAAAGCATAGAAATAGAGATTACATGGAGGGTTAGCAAAAGGGGAGTGGGAGGAGGAGAAGGGGGAGAAGGTACAGAGAATAAGCAGCATAGATGGTAGGTAGAAAATAGACAGGGGGAGGGGAAGAGTAGTGTGGGAAACATAGAAGCTAAAGAACTTATGAAACATGGACATGAACTACAGTGGGGAATGTAGGTGGGAGGGGGTGTGCAGGGTGGAGGGGAATGAAGAGGGGGGAAATAGGACAACTGAAATGGCATAATCAATAAAATATATTTTTTTAAAAAAGTAAAAGAAACTCTCTGCCCTGCCTGGCATAGCTCAGTGGATTGAGCGTGAACCTGCGAACCAAAGGATTGCAGTTTGATTCCCAGTCAGGGCACATGCCTGGGTTGCAGGCCAGTTCCCAGCAGGGGATGCACGAGATGCAACCATACATTGATATTTCTCTCCCTCTCTCCTTCCCTTCCCCTCTAAAGATAAATAAATAAAATCTTAAAAAAAAAGAAACTCTCTTTTCCACACTCCTCCCATTGCTGGTAAACCAGCAGCTTCCTGTCTTCCTTTCTTTTGAACATTGTAATTCTTTGAATTGTCAAATTAAATAAAATAAATACATAAAAGGGTATGAAATATTCATTTTAAAAGACCCAATTTATGGGTTTCCATGGGCTCACATTATAAAAATTCTAATAGTTTATTTACCCTTGAACAAGTTTAAATTGTGTGGGTCCATAAGAGTCAACTGTCCTTTCGATCTGAGGTCAGAAATCTGTATCCAGAAGACCAATTTAAGTTATACAGAGGTTTCTAAAGGGTTGCTGGTTTGATTCCCAGTCAGGACACATGCCTGGGTTGCAGGCCAGGTCCCTGTTAGGGGGCGTGTGAGAGTTAACCACACATTGATGTTTCTCTCCCTTTTATTCTCCTTCCCTCCCCCCCCAAATAAATTAATTAAATCCTTTTTTTTTTTTTTTTTTAAATTAAAGAATCTACCTCTCCTTGTAAGCCAAATCCCTCTAGGTTTCTGCAGAAACCTGCAGGTACCTGCAGAACCACCCCGGTCATGATCTTAGTGATCACAGCACCCAGAAGTCTCTCTGCTAACCTGTCCTGTCCATACCAGCTCTACCTCAAGGGCACCTTGACTCTGGCTTCAAATATATCACATAGGACATCTGCCTCCTTTTCGACTGCATATTATATCACAATTATCTGACATGTATTTGCATGACTCTGTCCCTCCTACATTGACTCCAGTGACAAGCACAGTGCCTGCTACTTAAAGGATTTCAATAAATAGTTATAAAAATAATGAAATTGGCACAGTGACTCCCATGCAATAAACACAATATATACAAGTACTGTAGTAAGAATTTCTTATTAACATAATGACCTAATAGAGCTCCTTTTGGAAGATCTGTAAAAGAACACTGCAACCTTTATTTTTTTTATCAGTTGTCCTATTTTTCCCACTTCACTCCCCTCTGCCCTGCATACCCATTCCCACCCATATTCCCCCCCTTTAGTTCATGTCCATGGATCGTACATATAAGTTCCTTCACTTCTACATTTCCTATACTATTCTGACCCTTCCCCTTTCTATTTTCTACCTACCATCTATGCTACTTATTCTCTGTACTTTTTCCTTCCCCCTCCCACTGCCCTGCTGATAACCCTCCACGTGATCTCCATTTCTATGGTTCTGTTCCTGTTCTAGTTGTTTGTTTAGTTTGTTTTTGTTTTAGGTGTTTTGTTGTCCATGATTGTAAGTTTGCTGTCATTTTACTGTTCATATTTTTCTGCTTCTTTTTCTTAGATAAATCCCTTTAACATTTCATATAAGGGCTCAGTGATGATGAACTCCTTTAACTTGACCTTATCTGAGAAGCACTTTATCTGCCTTTCCATTCTAAATTAAAGCTTTGCTGGGTAGAGTAATCTTGGATGTAGGTCCTTGCCTTTCATGACTTGGAATACTTCTTTCCAGCCCCTCCTTGCCTGGAAGGTCTCTTTTGAGAAATCCGCTGACAGTCTGATGGGAACTCCTTTGTAGGTAACTGTTTCTTTCTCTCTTGCTGCTTCTAGAAGACTCTCCTTGATTTTAATCTTGGCTAATGTAATGATGATGTGCCTTGGTGTGTTCCTTTCTGGGTTCAACTTCTTTGGGACTCTCGAGGCTTTCTGGAAGTCTATTTCCTTTGCCAGATTGGGGAAGTTCTCCTTTATTATCTGTTCAAAGAACTTTTCCACTTGTTGCTCCTCCTCTTCCCCTTCTTGTACCCCTGTAATTTGGATGTTGGAACATTTAAAGATGTCCTGGAAGTTCCTAAGCCTCTCCTCACTTTCTAAATTCTTGTTCCTTCATTCTTCTCTGGTTGGATGTTTCTTTCTTCCTTCTGGTCCACCCCATTGATTTGAGTCCCAGTTTCCTTCCCACCACTATTGGTTCCCTGTACATTTTCCTTTATTTCACTTAGTTTTTGTTTTTCATTTTTTCATCTAATTTGTGACCAAATTCAACCAATTAATTCAGTGAGCATCCTGATTACCAGTGTTTTAAATTGTGCATCTGATAGATTGGCTATCTCTTTGTTGCTTAGTTGTTGTTTTTTTTTTCCTGGAGCTTTGATCTGTTCTTTCCTTTGGGCCTTTTTTTTTTTTTTTTGTCTTGATGGGTGCAGCCTTAGGAGTTCATCAGGGCAGGGTAACCCAAGTCACTGCCTTGTGATGCTGTATGTGGGGGCGGGGTCAGAGAGGGAACAATGGTGCTTGCTCTGCTCTCTGCCAGATTTCAGTCCCTTCTGCCGCTTCCCCCAAGCAAACTGGGCCCTTCTGGTGCTGATATCCAGGTGGGTGGGCTTTTGTTATGTTCTAGGATCCTGCGGGTCTCTCCAGCAAACTCTCCTGTGAGGCTGGGAGTTTCTCCAGATGCCTCAACCCCTACAGATGTTTTCAATCAGCGGTTTGAGGCTTTATTTCCATGTGCTAGGGCCCTGGGTTGTGCAGACAGTCCCACTCACTAGTAGTTTCTCCCAGTTTATCTATGCACAAATGTGGAACTGCACAGTCTGCAATCCGCCAGTTCACCAGGTCCACCTGCCGCTGCCTTGCCAGCCAGCTGCAGACTTGTACACCCTGTTCCACAACCGATGGCATTGCTGGGTCCAGTAGCTGCTGCCTTGCCGCAAGCCCTGTCTTCCCTACTGCCTGTCTCCACCCCTCCTACCCATCTGGATGAATGTTTCTTCTTTAACTCCTTGGTTGTCAGACTTCCATACAGTCAATTTTCTGTCAGTTATGGTTGTTTTTGTTTTTAAATTGTTTTTGCCCTTTTTTTTGTTGTACAAGGAGGCACAGTGTATCTATCTACCTATGCCTCCATTTTGGGCAAAAGTGCCCTATTTTTTTTTTTAGATAAATCTCAAAGATTTATTATTCTATTTAATCCAACGTGGAATTTAACAGTCAAAAAACTTACTCTGATTTGCTACAAATTCCTTATTTAACATCTGCTGTTTGCCCTGGTGAGAACCTAAATTCAAAATCCTTTAGAGCTGTTAGGTTTCACTCTCCTACACAAACAGAGAGTAAGTTATGCAGCAAACCACAGCAGAGAGAGACAGACACATAGGTAGCATGAACTGTACATGGCAAAACCTCACCCCCAGATAATCAGGCCCAAGCCTGGCTGCCACCCTCAGGGACCCGGGATGCAGTTGAAGACATCAACACACTAAATACATACTTGGACAGAAAGTCTCCAGCCTTCATAAGCTTCAAATGCAGGTGATAAGTTCTCTGTATCATCAATTTCCAATCTGATCAGGCCAAATACCCATACTCTTCCAATTTTTTTCTTTAGTTTTTAAATGATCACATAGTAAAACTGATTGTTCTCCAGTGGGATTTAGGGGTGCAGTGAGTGGGATCAGTTCTATAAATTTTAAGCCATGTATAGATTTGTGTAACTACCACAAGCAGGAATATTAGACCAATCCATCACCCCAAAAACCTCCCTTGTGTCCTCCCTTTATAGTCACCCTACTCCACCCCACCCTGGCACCCACCTATCTATCCCCGTCATTATAGTTTTGTTTCAAGAATGTGCTGTCAAAGGCTTAACACACTATGTAAGCTTTGAGAGAGGCCCATTCACTCAACACGAGCCTCTGAGATTCAGCCGGGTTATCACACACAGCAACAGTGTGTCCCTTTTCACTGCTGAGCAGTGTTCCATGGGACAGGTGCACCAGTTTGTCTTTCCAGTCACCCACTGATGAGCATGTTGCTTGTTGCTAGGTTTTAGAGATTATGACTAGAGTCAGAATAAACATTCGCACGCAGGTTTTTGAGTGAAACTACATTTTCATTTCTCTAGGATGGACATCCATGGGTGAGACTGTTGAGTTATATGGTAACTTTCTAATAAATTACCCAACTTATCCAGAGTGACTGCACACTGTATACTGCCTCAGGCAACATGTGACAGCTGCAGCTGTTCTGTACTCTGCCATCACTGGGTATTGCCAGGGTTTTATTTTAATCACTCTAACAAGTATGCAGCAGTGTCTTATTATGCTTCTGATCTGAATTTCCTTGAGAGCTAATGATTGGGAACTTCCGTGTTCAAATGATTATTGACACCTCTGCATTCTCTTTTGTGAAAAGTCTATTCATGTCTCCTCTCATTTTCTAACATTTTTGTTATTGCCTGAATGTCTAACAGGCAATCGAATTAAAATGTCTAAAGCCTACCCCTCATCATCACTTTCCAAATCTGCTCCTTCTAGTATGTTCCCCCTTTTTAAAAAATATTTTATTTATTTATTTTTAGAGAGAGGGGAAGGGGAAGAGAGGAAGAGAAGCATCAATAAGTGGTCGCCTCTTGCATGCCCCCTACTGGGGGCCCGATCTGGCTGGCAACCCAGGCATGCACCCTGACTAGGAATTGAACTAGTGACCCTTTGGTTCACAGGCCAGTGCTCAATCCACTGAGCCACACCAGTCAGGGCCAGTTTTTCCTATCTTAATTAATGTCCACTCTATCCTTCTAAGTGCTCAAGCCAAAAACCTAACAGTCATCCTGGACTTCTCTTTCTCTCAGTTCCCACATCCAACTTGTCAGCTTAACCTTCACGACATATCCAGAATTAGATTACCTTTATTCTTTTTTTTACTCCTCACCTGAGAATGTTTTATTGATTTTTAGAGAGAGAGAGAAGGGGGAAAAAGAGGGAGGGGCGGGGGGGAGGGTTTCTCTCTCACATCACTGAGAGAGAAACACTGATAGGTTGCCTCCCACATGCACCTAGACTAAGGATCAAACCCACAACCTCAATACATGCCCTGACTGGGGATCAAACCTCCAACCTTTTGGTGTACGGCATGATGGTCCAACTGAGTGAACCACTTGGGCAGGATGTGATTACCTTTATTCTTACTAGGTCAAGCCTCTTGTTGAGATTCCACAAACTACCCCACTTAGCTGCTTCTATCCTTTCATCTTCAGTCTATTGTCAGGACAGCAGCCAGGGTGATACTTTTCTAGTGTTAAGTCAGATCATAACACCTCTGCTCAAATTCCTCAAATAGCTTCCTACCCACTCAAGAATATAACCCTTACTGTGACCTACAAGGCCCTACATACAAGATTTGCCCCTAATAACTACCCTGCCTGTCCCTCTACTACCTCAACTTAACTGTCGCCCTCTAGTCACATGGCCACCTTGCTGGGCCATAACAAGTACTTTCTGGACTTGCACCCTGTTACTTCTACCTGACAGACCCCTGATCTCTATCTAGCTTGCCATAAACATCTAGGTATCTTCAGACACCAAGAGGTGCTGGAGTAGCTCTCATTATACAGAAAAAAAGCAGATGCTAGAGCCATGTGGACAATATTTTGAATACTCCATGTAAAAATGGCTCTGATATAATTTCATTGAGAGTATCTCTGATACTTAATTTATCAAATTGCTCTTAATTTGCTCTATCAAGAAAGTTTTGCCTGGAATACTATACAGAAATAAAAGGAACAGACTATCAGTACATGTTACAATATGGATGAACCACTATGCAAAGTGAAAGATGCCAGATGCAAAAAGATATGTACGATTCTATTAATATGGTGTCTCCAGAAAAGGGAAGGTTATAGAGATAGAAAGCAATTCAGTGGTCACCTGGGATAGGGATGAAAACAGACTATAAATGAGTGTGAAGAAGTTCTAAAACTAGATCATAGTGATATTTGCACAACTCCGTAAGTTTACTAAAAATCTTGAATCATATACTTATAATGAGTGGGTTTTATGGTATATAAATTATATTAACATAGCTGTTTTTAAAACACAAATTTCTTACAATACCAGAAGTAGGGCTTCTGTAACATATTAAGGATCAATACTTTAGCCTGCAAATAAAATAAATAACACTACTGCAAGAATTTTCAGTGTTCCTAGTCATTTTCACAGGACCACAAAAAAATGAGTTAAGGGTAAGCTGAACTCCACCAAAGAAGTAAGACTGGAAAAGAAAGCAACTACTTTGGGCCAGTGATTAAGGAATCTGTGAATGTATTCACCATCCACCCCTACCCTCACCCAAAATACTTCTGACTTATTTAATTATTTTCTTTATTTGATTTCACAGAGAGAAAGGAAGAGAGGGACAGAGAAACATCTGTTTGTTGTTCTCCTTACTGATGCATTCATTGGTTGATCCTTGTATGTCCCCTAACTGGGGATCAAACCCGCAACCTTGGCATAGTGGGATGATGTCTAACCAACTGAGCTACCCATCCAGGACACTTAGGATTTATTTAAAAGCTTTACCCAGTAAGTCTCTGCAGGAAGATGGTTGTACTGCACAGGAGCCCCTCCCTCAAGCCAACAGCTGGAAATCAGTTTTTGTCTATGCAATGAGTGCACAACTTAGCTCTCACCCTGCTTACCTGGTATGGTGTGTACTTCATCCAAGATCATAAGGCCCCACTCTTGAGTTCTCAGCCACTCCATAACTCGCTCAGCCTCCCAGGATCTTTTGGTGGTGTGGCCCAGCATGGAGTAGGTGCTGATGGCAATGGAGCAGCCTATGGGCTTGTCCTTGGCATCGGAGGTGAAGCGGCAGATCTGGCTGTCATCAATGGTGGACCACATCTTGAACTGAGCTTTCCACTGCTCCACAGACACAGCTGAGTTGCCTAGCACCAGACAGCGTTTTCTGACAGTGCATGCAGCTGTCACACCAACCAGGGATTTCCCAGCACCTACGAGAAACCAAAGAATAATCCTATCCAAGGCCAAGCTGAAATGAAGGACAGAGACAGACAGACTCATCAGCACACAAATCTGGGCAAATTATTTGTAACCATCTTCACAGCTGACATTACGAAGCACTTACTGCTCTGGAGTCTGTTTTCTTTTTTATAAAATGGAGCCATGTTCACTTTACACAAACGTAAGAAGTAAAAGAGGCAAGTGCCAGCCCCTATTGTAGCATTTTACATGTATCTTGTTTAAAGGCTGAAACCTCAAAACAAACAAGAGATAAGAGACTCTATTGTTGCCATTTTCCATGTGGCAGAACTAAAGCTAAGGCATAACTTGCCCAAATCCATGGAAAAATGATGCTTCTGGGGTAGACTGTGCTCAGCACACAGATGCACCATAGACTCAGCAAAAGACAGCTGTCATGACTACACAACCAAGTGGGCTGAGAAGTCAAAAATGTAGTAAGTGTGTACACTGCTGGTAAAGACAGAGAAGGTAAAATTTCAGGAGCTTCCACATTTACTACCATCAACCATTTGATGATCAAGATAAAAAAATCAAGCTATTCCTTTAGGTAGCAAGTCTTCCTTTACCAGGAATGTGCGTCAAAATAACTCATGAAGCTTTTAAAAAAGAACAACCACCTAAAGGCCTACGTCACTCCCCTATAGCTTCTGACAGCTTAAGTCCAGGACAGCGGAATCTTTGTGACTACAGGCTGTGAAGGTTGGCCAGGAGCTGCCATGACTTGGGATAAATGACATCAGATAGAAGCCAGGGCTGCCCCTGACTTTGTGGATGCACACACTCTAACCTGCTTTCCAGGAACAAGCCAGTGTCTGTGCCAGGGAACCTCCACATAAACAGGCTTCACAAGACTGACTGCAAAAAAAAACCCCAGCCCAACTCAGCATGCAAAATAATACCACCCTGGCACAGTGTTGTTTGTCTTCATTGCCCAAGATTTCACACATTGCTTAGGTGATTTGTATACCATCTGTCTCCACCTCACCAGAATAAGCTTGACATCAGAGTATTGCTCTCTCCATCATTACATCCCAGAGTGGAGGTCAGGGTCCTGCACACAGCAAGCACTCAAATACTTTTCAAGTCCTGAATCAGGAAGTCGTCTGACCATGGCTGTTCCCTGGCCAGGTGTGAGGTACATTTATAGAAAGGTACACAAGGAGAGTGGGAGGCAGCCTGGAGATCTTCATTTAAGTATCACTCACCACAAGGAAGAACAATGACCCCTGAACGTGCACGCCCATTCCCAAACATCTTCCGCAAGCTCTTCTCCTGATAAGGTCTAAGGACAGCTGTGGGTTTCAGGTCAATGTTGATATCAGGGTTAACAGAATCATTCCGAAAGTCATATTCTGCCAACAGAGGGTACTCTAGGTGAATGCAACGTTTTTGAAGCTCCTCAATCATCTCCTGGGGAGTGAGAACAAAGTTTTATAACCTTCCTAACTCCAGGGCATGCTCATAAACAGCACATATTTTAAGGGGCCTTGTGGTCGAAAGGACAGCAGTTATCTAGGCTTTGGCGACTTTAGATCCTGCAAGTAACAGCTGAATTAAAACATGGAAAGGCAACCCAAACTAAGGACATACACAAAATGAAATCCAACCAGCCACCAAAAATGCCCCTCTGGCACCATTTCTCACACCTGAAAACTGACCCACCAGTGTGAGGAATGGGACACCCAGATCCAACTCCATTACCAAGAATGATGCTATGGCCCACAGACACCAAGAAGGAGAAAGCAATTTGGGAACAGATGAGCATTCCTTCCTCTCACACAGACTACAGAAAGAGTCTGTGCAGGGCTGGACCAGCTTCTGACATTGTCTTAGAGAAGGAATCAGGAGGGGATCTGTTCAATAACCTGCTTGACTTCAAAAGATACTGTCTGTGTCTCTTCTTCATCTTCTTCATCCTTGTCCATTTGCTCATAAAAGTCAAATAGGTCCTTGGGGATGTCAGATTTACCCTGTGGATCTGTCACCTGGGAAGTGGAGGGCCCACCACTGTCTTCAGCAGTCTTTGCAATCTGTAAGAGAAAGACAGGATTTGGATTCACATGCAACAGTTAACCCCAAGAAAGAACTTAAGTTGCTAAGAAAATAGCAAGGCCACTAGGTTGCAAAACTGAAACAGAAGCACCTGAGAGAGCTGTAATACCAAATGCTCCCACCCCCAGAGTAACCCAGAAGAAGCTCACGTACAGCAGATCTGCTTGTAAAAGTCTCTGTGATGAGCTCAGTCACCCCCCCCTCAGAACTCCTTAGGCGGCACTCCCGAATCACTGGGTCCTGGAGAAGATGCTGGATGACATCAGGGTGGGAGCTTTCAACAAAGTACCTACAAGAGGAAGGAGGTGCCAAGTGAGCAGTACACCATTTTCAGAAGGTTACACTGCTCAGTTAGATGTCTAAAAACGGTGACCTCATGCCTCTCTCCTCTTTATCACTCTCCCACAACCCTTTGCCAAACCTAACCTATAAACTACTAGCTACTTAACATGAGAGTTGTAGACAAAGCCATACTATGAAGACAAATAAACGAGGATCTGAGCCCCAGCCCCACTTGGGGGAACGTGGTGGCCAGTGAAGAAACTTTAGATTTGGCCACGTTACTTTATCTATTCCTTTGTATCACATTACTCAGGGGAGTGGGTATTGATGCAGAGTGGACAGGCCACAAATGTTGGCTTCTTAACATCTGAAGCACAGAGAGTGAAAGTGCCTGGGACAGGCCTGTCACGCAAAATCCCTTACCTGTTGTGTTTCAGGACCAGCTTGACTTTTCCATAACTGACAGTACACAACTGCAAGGAGTAACAAATCAGGCAAAATTAGCAACATGAAGCTCACTCAGAACCACTTATCAACCAAGTGTAGAGTTCATGTTACTGTAGGAAAACTCAATGTACAATCCTAACATGGTCAGAGCTCCCTAAATTGAGCTTTTTCTATTAGACTCTTCTTTTTGAGAACACCTTCTTCTTGTCTAATTAATTTTAAAATTGGTTAGACAATGACAGGTAACTAATTTTAAAATTATTTAGACAATGACTGGTTAGCCAATGACAGGTAAGATTCTTCAAAAGAGGGATGACTTCAGATAGGCATGGTCTCAAAGGGGCCCTAAGAGAAGGACTTGGGGGGCTATAGAAAAAGGGGGTGATGGACCCTTGCCCCTCAGCTTTGATATAGCCTGAGTCCTCATTCTTCTCTGAGGTTAGATGCATTACTGTTCTGGAGCCCTGTGGCACTCATCTTCTACCACACCAGATTTTGGGGTTTGAATCCAACTCCCTTTAGATAAGCAGAGGACAATGAAGGCCACCGTCCATCTCTTCTGAAACATATTTCACCTATCTCTTTGAACAAACCCAAGCATGTTCAACTGCTCTTCATGTGGAACACTGCCCACTTCAACATTTGAAGTTCTTTTTGACTTTTCCTAATGAAAACTGTTGACTATTGTCTGATGCAGGTTATTCAGCTTTAGATGGAGTTTACCATCTGTGTTACTCTATGTGGGCTGTTATGCAAAACAACATGGACTGGGTGGTTTAACAACGGAAACTTATTTCTAAAAGTCTGGAATCAAAGTGCCAGTGATTCAGTTTCTAGTGAAGGTTCTCCTCTGGCTTACAGAGAGCTTTCTTATTTTATGTTCACATGAGCTCTTCTTTGTATACATGCAAAGAGAAAAAGAGTAAACAAGCCTTCTGGTGTCTCTTCTTATAAGGACACTAATCCTGTTGGATCAGGTGATGGGAACTATCCTGCCTGGTTTCAGAAGCTATAACCTCACCGACAGGCAAAAAGGCCCCCAGAGCTAGCAGACCTTGGGACCATAAACCACTAAGGAGACAAAACTTATCTTCCCAGCAGGGGTGCAGCCTCTGCCCCCTTTACCTCACCCTACTTGGCCCCGGGAAGATGACTGGTTAGCCAATGACAGGTAAGATTCCTCAAAAGAGAGATGACTTCAGATAGGCATAGTCTCGAAGGGGCCCTAAGAGAAGGACTTTGGGGGCTATAGAAAAAGGGGGTGATGGACCCTTGCCCTTCAGCTTTGACATAGCCTGAGTCCTCATTCTGTCTGCAAGAAGCTTCCTAATCTCTTGGCTGCCTTGCTTCCCCTGCCTGAAACAATGAGAGGCAGGGTGCAGCCCTGTGTGGGAACTGGTGGTTTCCAGGAGAACCAGACCTGAGAAAGAATGCATTAAATCCTATAAAACCTGCTTTGCTAAGAATGTCCTCAGCTATTAAATGTTTAGGGTCCAAGCACAAAACAAGTTTGTTTCCCAAGGTTTGATGGCCAATTGGCATCAACCTGTCTACCAGACCCTGACTCAAATGGACCCCCATGATCCCCAAAATGCTATCTGTTAACCTTATCTCCTTTCTTTGATCATTACTATCTGACATTGATTGATGACCTTTACATGCATGCTATGCAACCTATGCAAACTAAACTCAATAAAAGCCCATTGAGAAAGAGACTCTAGGCCCTTCTCCTCAAAGAGATTGCCACCTTTCCTCCCTAAGCAGATTATGTCTTGGTAGATTTCTTCTCATCCGAGGCAGGAGAGCAATCTCTTACCCACAAACAGGGAACCACGCTTATGACCTCATTTAACCTTAATCACTTCCTTACTTCAAATGTGGTTAGGGCGCTAAGATACGAATTGTGGAGAGTACACAATTCATCCACAATACCATTAGCTTTGGGCTACATTCCCAAATAACCTTGGCCAAATTGGGCTTGATTTACTAGCCTCATCGTGTGAGTACCCACTGGCTAAGAGCACCTCATGGGAAGTGTGGCCTCAGCAAGAACACAATGCTGGATTCACAGGAGTAGCAGCTGGTACAATAATCAGTTATTATGCTCCCCACACTAGATCTGGATGGCCATTTTCTTGACTGCCACAATTAACAATATGTCACACCTATCCTCAATATTACTACATTAACAAGGAAGACAAAAGTGCCAGTCTTTGCCCCCACTTACCTTAATAAACTGAATGATTCCTTCAGGAATTCCAGTCTTGCTGAGCTTCCTGAGGTATTCAGTGATGTCACTGGTTTGCAGCCCAACACTGACAGCTGCATATAGGGAGTAGGCAGTCAGTTTGTATTCATGTACATGGGTTGGTCGGCACACTGGCTCTGCAATAGCCACCAAGAAGTCTTGAGCATATTTGTAAACTGGAGAGAAGGCTTCTAAAAAAATGTGGCCATCAGGAGCCTGAGAAACACCAAACAGACATGAAACTAATGAGTTCCTAGAACTATCAGGTTTTTTTCCATATCATTATCTATAAAAGATTAAGTTGCTCAAAAAGTGATACACCAGGGATAGTTTTGTAAGCACTCCTTCGGCCAACTGTGGGGCCTTTTACTTTGATCACATACAGGGAGTGAAAAGAACAGAAGAAAAGGTTTACAAAGTCAGTAGCTGCTTCCCACTATTCTTCACAGGAAAAACCCATCTTACCACCTATCCTCAAGTTACCTTTTGGCTAGGTCAAATGAATGCAGAACCCTGATTACTTCAAATTGAGAAAAAAACCTAAGAACTATGTCTTCACAATTTTTTCAAGTGGGGAATTAAAATGTTACATAACAAATGCCATCTATTCGATAGATGAAAGTATTCCCAAACTTGCAGCAGAAGTGGAGAGAAGGGGGAGTAAAAGGTGGGTCTAGAGAGGAAGGAAGCTTGGCGCAGGTGTGCACACCTACCATCCCTATCTCGGCTGTCCACGCTACCGGTATGAAAGCTCTCTCCAGCCAACTCTCCCAGCAGTAGCCTGAATTTCTATTTTGGCCCCAAAGATTCCTTGGGGGCCCTGCCCTGGCTGTCAGAATGCTCACCACCCAGAGGGGCCGGGAGATGTGGTCGGCCTTCAGCGGCATCTGCAGCCTGTAGTCCTTGGCTCCATACTCATCCAATTTTGTGCTAGACTCATCCACTTGCTTTCCGGCAGCCGAGGGCACAGCCTCCTGAGAATCGTTTCCAGGGGCGTCATCTTCATCTTCCTCCTCATCCTCGTAGTGCCGCTTCTTGGACTTCTTCTTATCTGCAGATGTGGACACAGATGTGAGCCCCCCAGGAGCAAGGGCCCCTCTGCCGCGCCTAGTGGCATTTCCGGGGACTTGGCCGCAGCCAGGCTGCAGCAGCCCACACATTCCCCACCCACAGTCCAGGGCTACCGGGCGCCACTCCCTCAGACGCTGACTACCCGACCGAGGTCACAGGGCCGCCCAAGGGCCACGGATCACCACTACCCTCCCCCCGCCGCCCTCACCCCCGGCTCGGGGTACTAGTTGGAGAGAACCACGCGACCGCGAATGCAGACAGCCGGGCGCGCCCACACCACTCCTCACCGCGGTCCGCCCGGTCCCTTTTGCCCATGGCGCCCACAGGAAGAGACTGGCTGCCTGCCTCCGAAGGGACGGCTGTTCTCCGGTAACTTCCGGTTCACTCCGAAACTCTTCCGGCGACCACAAGGAAAGTCCCGCCTCTGAGCTCTGGTGGCGGGGTAGGCTTGTGAGCAGGGGAGTGGGTGGTGCTGGGGGTGCAAGCGGGTGGCTGCTGAACGACGGACCCAGTTCGTGTGACTCTGCGCGGTTCGTGTGATTCTTTCTTCTAGTCAGTGATGTGTATTTCCTGAGTGCCTTGCATGGTCCTCAAGCACTGTTTTAGCCACTGTTGGAGGACCCCTGGAACTTAAACTCTAGAGATGTTGGCAGTGAACAAATTTGCTGTTAACCGCCAAGAAGAAATAAAATAGGGCCCAGGGCCAGGGCAGTAGTGCCATTCTACCTGCAGTGGTCAGATCCTCTCTCTGACCTGGTGGTGTTAGTGCAAAAGATCTGAAGAAGTGAGACTGTTCTGTGTGGTGGGCGCGGGCTGGCGCAAAACAAATGTGAAGGAAAGTAACAACAGATGGTGGTTGGTGCCCATTCAACACCAACAGGAATCCCCAATTTGGGTAGCGGTGGAAAAAGGAAATTTTATTCAATGCAAAACAATTGCAAAGCCCAATTATGAAGCAGCAGTACTCTTGAGGCGGCTCTGGAGCCAGGCCCTCTCCAGCTACACAGCTCTGCTCTGCTCTCTCATGGTTCTGCGCAGGTCTGCACCTCTCTGCTCTGGCAGCTGTCTTTGGCCGTGTCAACTTCAGCTCCAATCAGCAAAACTTTTTGTGGAAAGTTCAGTGTTTTGCATTGAATAAGGAGAGAAGGTACACTCCTTAATCCAGAGTGGGGCGGGTTTATAAACTGAAGCTTTCATTCCTGGTCCCTGACTGATCTGTCCTCATCAAATGAGGAGTCCAAATCCTCAGTTTGATTGGTTCAGAAGGCATTGTCCCTAATTGGTCAGAATGAAGCTGCTCTGTTTGGTTAGTGAAGAAGCTGATGGGGGTACACCTGCACAACTCCACTGAAAGAGGAAAGCTTCAGTCCTATTGTTTGAAATAGGTTTCCAGGAACTCCCTTATAAGGGCTGGCTCAGCTGGCAGAAACACTGTGCAGGTAGGCAGCTCAATGCAGGCTTCTCACTGATGTGCACTTTGCATGAGAGGCCCCTATATGGAAATAGCTGCTAAGCTGTTTTTTGTTGTTTGTTTGTTCTTTAATTTCAGCCCACTTAGTCACTGGGAGCCCCTTTTTTGGTAATCTTCTTTCTCAGAGCCCACAACAGGTTTAGCAGGTAAGAGTATGGACCAAAATGGGGTGCTATAATAAATCTGACAAGTCCAGTGACAGAAAGGAACCTCCCAGGACAATCTGATCATAAATTCCTAACTTGGCAGGTCATGATGGTCAATCATGTCCTAGGCCTTTAGTACGCTTAGAAAAGGTCAGTATTTACCTTAAGCCAGCTCTGTCCACTGTTTTTGTGCATCTAATTAGCACACCTTTGAAATGCCTCTTTTTGCAGTGCTCCAGGTGAGAAATGGCTGGCCTATGAACTCAAAGAGGCCCACACCAAGATACATCATAATGAAAATGCCAAAGATTAAAGACAAAGAGAGAAACTTAAAAACAGGAAGAGAAAAGCAGTTACTTAAAAGGGAGCTTCCATTAAGACTCAGCTGATTTCTCAACAGCAACTTTGCAGGCCAGAAGGGATTGCCATATTCTGTGAATTTAAGAAACATCCAACCCTGTAGAGTTTTTATGAGTTTATTTGAGCCAAATTGATGATGAATGTCAGGGAGCAGGATCTCAAGTGCTCCAAAGAATAACTGTTTTGCAGCTTCTTTTACACATTTGAAATTAAGGAGGGAAGGGAACATAAGGAAGATACAAGAAGGTGACAGAAAAGCAAGGTGGTAGTTTACAGGATAGTTAACAAGATTATGTGCTTTCTTGAAGGTGGTTACCACTTATTTCAAAAGTGTGTTAACCTAGACGCACAGAAACAATGCACAGGGCTTGGTAAAGGCAAAAATAAATCTTTTACTAAAAAGTATGTCTGGGACCCTAGCCTGGTGGCTCAATTGGTTGGAGCATCGTCTCACCCACCAAAGGGTGTAGTTTTGACTCCCAGTCAGAGGACATATCTAGGTTGCAGGTTCGATCCCTGGACGAGGCCTATTTGGGAGCCAAGTAATTGATGTTTCTCTCTCACATCAGTGTTTCTCCCCCTCTCTCTCTGTCAAATCAATAAGCATATCCTTGGATAAGAATTTTTAAAAAGTTATATGACTGGGGCATGAGTACCTACCATGACCTGTCCAGTTAGGAATTTATGATCAGATCATCTTCTGAGGTTACTTTGCATGGAACCCCCCTTTTTTGTCCACAATTCAAAGTGATGAAAAGCAAGGACCTACAACCAAGGCAAGGCAACTCTATCCAGAAAGGCTATCATTCAGAATCAAAGGGAAAAGAAAGAGCTTCCCAGACATGAACAATCTTAAGTTTACCACCACTAAACCAGTATTACAAGAGATGTTAAAGGGACTTCTTTAAAAATACAGGGGGGGGATTAAAAATATGAATAAGAAAATAATCACAAGGAAAAAATTCTCACTGGCAAAGGCAAATAATAAAGGCAGTGAACCAACCAATACTAAAGCTAGTAAAAGATTAACAGGCAAAAGTAGAAAGATCATGTGTAATTACAACAGTAAACTTAAGGAAATACAAATACACAAAACAAAAAAATGATGACAAAAACATAAATATGGAGGGAGGGAGTAAAAATGATAGTGATTTTAGAATGTATTCAAATTTAAACCACTGTCACTTAAAATGGACTGCTGTAAATGCAGCTGGTATATATACAAAGCACATGGTAACTGCAAACCAAAAATATACAATAGATAGAAAAGAAGTAAAAAGAAAGGAATCCAAAAGATACCATCACAGAAAGTCAACATACAAGAGAACAGAGCATAAGAATAAGGAACACAACTATAAAAACAATCAGAAAACAATTTAATGAAAGGAGAATAACTACTCACCTATCAATACTTCAAATGTAAATGTATTAAACGCTCCAACCAAAAGATGAGTGGATAAAAATGTGGTACATAATATACAATGAAATACACAAATACATTTTTTATTTAGCCATAAAAAGGACACTTTACCATTTGTAAAAATATGGACGGACCTAGACAGTGTTATGCTAAGTGACATGTCAGAAAGACAAATATATGATTTTACTTATATGTACAAACTAAAAACCCAAATAAACAAACAAAACAAAAACAGACTCATAGACACAGAGAATAAACTGATGGTTGCCAATTAGAAGTGGGTTTGCAGAGGCTGAGTGAAGAAAGCAAAGTGATTAAGAACTACAAATTAGTTACAAAATAGTCACAGGGATATAAAGTACAGCATAGAAAATATAGTCAGTAATACTGTAATAACTACATAGGGGGTCACATAGATGCAAGACTTACTGAGAGATCACCTCTTAATTTATATAAGTATCTAACCACTATGCTCTATACCTGAAACTAATATAATATTGAATGTCAGCTGTAATTGAAAACTTTTCAAAGTTTTTTTGACTTTACTAGTGTGGTAAGGGTAAAAGTAAAAAAAAAAAGTGGTTCCTTTCTGAATATATTTTGAAGCTAGAGCTTGATTTGCAGACTGACTAGATATGGGAAGTGAGAGAAAGAGTAAAGGATAACTGTCCTAAGATTTTTGGCCTGAAAAACTGCAAATGTACACCTTAGGGAAGGTACATATTTGAAGGGTAGTTTTAGACATATTGAATATGAGTAGTTGTATTAGTCTGATCCAGTGTAATAACGGAATACCACAGACTGTGTGATTTAAACAACAGAAATTTCTTTTCTTAAAGTTCTAGAGACCGGAAGAACATGATCAAGCTCTTGCTCTCCTCCTGGCTTGCAGATGGCTGCCTTCTGGCCTTCTCGCTGTATCCTCACGTAGAAACTGAAGAAAGGGCAAGCTCTCTGGTGTCTGTTCCTCTTATGACATAAGGGCATCAACTTTGTTGGATTAGAACCTCACCCTTATTAACTCCTTTAACCTCTATCACCCCCTCACAGGCTCTATTAGAGGAATATTAGGGGTTAGAGCTAACATATGAATTATGGGTAAGATGCAATTCGGTCCATAGAAGTGGCCTATTAGACAATTAAATGATGTGTCGAGAAGGCAGTTGAATATAAGTCTTTAGTTCTGGGACTTAGAAATATAAGTTTGAGAACGGTCAACATATCTATTGTATTGAAGCTGAAAAACTAATTGAAGTTACCTAGAGAATGAATGTAGATAGAAGAAAGGTTTGAGAACATTTTGGTGAAGAGGCTGAATGATGAGGGAGAATTGAGCAACCCCCACTGGGGAATAATAAATGAGATAGAAAAATCAGGAGTCCTGGAAGTCCTGCTTTCAATTAATTTTATTTCAAGGTGGAGGAACTGATTGAGTGTTTTAGATGCTACTGACTGGATGAGCAAATTGAGGACTGAGACTCCGCCACAGGATTTGCAATGTAGAGGTCAGTTCTCAGCTAAATGGCCTTCACTAAATTGGTTTGTTGGTCCATGCTCTACATAAATCTCACTTACTCAAGAAGTGGAATAATAAAACCTTTAAAACAGGCTTTTGCACTTTAATATTTTCTTTGATAAGTAATACTGGTCATGCAAAAGTCTTGGAAAACAAAGAAATGCATGGCAAAGGTTATCAATGTTTTGGCTCATTTTCTTCTAGGCTTTTTTTCCTGCAGATGTTTTTACAACATGGAAGTATTACTTGGACAGATATATAATTTTATGTCCTCCTAACATAAGCTTTGTTCACCCCTCATTAAAATGGATGTTTAATTACTAATTTTCCATTGTATGGCAATATCATTATTTACTTACCCAAGCCCTGGAACAAACCCCTGGATTGTTCAAGTTTATTTTATTGTAAGTAGCTCTGTGATGAATGTCATTGGATATAAATCTTTAACTGCATCTTGGGTTGTTTTCTTAAAAG